CATGTAGCAATGCTCCTATCTTTAAACATATAATCTAGCATTGAACGGGTGTGGTTTGTGCCATTTAATAGCCATGATGAAGCCAGTAAGTGTTGGTTGGTGGTGAGGCAGCATAGAAATGAGCCTTCTCTAATGGACTAAGGGCCTGTTTGGTATGAGGGTATGGGTGGGTACATAAAGATGGGTTTAAAAAATGGGTTTTAAGGGGACCGGTACCTTTTTTAGAAATTATAGTACAAAAAGTACCACTTTTAAAAATATTGGTCAAAAAGTACACAATCCATAACAAATGTCTAAAATTGCCCATTCGGAAGAAGGTGAATAGTCTCCTAAATTTTTCCCTCCAAAGCCGAAACAACGGAAATGGACTATTACCCATAACTCCTTCAATATTGCTAAAAATGTGGGCTCTTCAAAAATTGATGACATAACTTCCTAAAACGTCCATTCTTTTCAAAACAGGATGTTCAAAATCAATTCTTTTTTTCTTTTTTTGTGTTCTTCGAATGAGTTTCTCTGTGAGTTAGTGAAAGGGCACTAGTGGACGGTGAAGAACAAATCAGTGAAGAAAAAGGGGCTTTCACTGTGGAGATAAAGGTATGTGAAAACTTCCTAAACCCTCTGTTCCTTTCAAGACATTATGTTCAAAAATGGGTTTTTCGTTCAACCAGTTCTCATTTTTTTTTGATGTGTTCACTGTTCAATTTTGATGGGTTCACTTTAACAATGTTGAAAACTTCCATTCAAGACATGATGTTCAAAATGAGCTTTTCTTTCAACCCATTTTTAATTTTTTTTTATTTTATGTGTTCACTGTTCAATTTTGATGGGTTCATTTTAACAATGTTGAAAACTTCCGTTCAAGACATGATGTTCAAAATTGATTTTTCGTTCAACCCATTTTCAATTTTTTATTTTATTTTATGTGTTCACTGTTCAAAATGTTTTTTTTTTTTTTTTTAAAAAAAAAAAATTGGATTCGGTGTGAAATAGTGAAAGTCTCAGTTTGCAGATGGTGACGACCACACCATTTTGTAAACGGTGAATAAAAAGGCATACATTGGAGTGAGGAAGGATTGTTGAGATCATTGAATAGTGCTTGAAAAGAACTTGTCGACATTGGGGAAAGTAAACTTTGATAAATTATGGCGTTGAATCAATAATATCTCCAAGTTTTTTTGGTAATTTGATTGATTGTTACAACTGCTATTTATGATTAAATTGTTAAATTTCACAAGGAATATTACATTATGATTCAAGTAAATTTGAGTATTTGTAAATCCGCAAAATTTGTTATTTGACCAATAATGTAATAACAAACTAATTTCAACTATATGTCAAGGTCGACTTTGGTGTGTACGTTTGCTACATTATGAAACAATTGGCAACAGGAGAAGACGTAGAAGAGAATTTGACACAAAGACAAATAAAAGACTTTTGAAGTGAAATGCAGTCAATGTTTCTGAATTATCAAAATTCTTGGACAGAAGACGATTTCAAAACGAGACAAACATTGAAAGACAAATTTGTGGGTACATGATTAGTTCTTCAAACTTTTATTACACATTTGAAGTGTAAATGTGATTAGTGAACAGTGTCCTTGGGATTTTGATGTAATACTGGTAGTATTTATGTGACTTTGGGTTATGGCAATGTGGATTTGGATTCTAACAATGCAACTTTGGATTATAACAGTATGAAATTGCACTGTCAATGTTGTTAATTTGATTTGTAATAGTGGGATATTAAATTGTCACATTGGGATTTAATTTGTAGCAGTGTGACATTATGTAATTGACTGACAGCAGAATTATATTTATTTTGTATTAGTATGAAACTTTCGATGATATCAGTGTGTCATTGGTTGTATTAGTATCATTTGAAGGTTAAAATATGATGACATTGGTTTGAGTGAGAATGGCGTTTGGCTAGAAGCAATATGTCATTGGCTGATAGCAGTGTGACATTGATTGTTAACAGTATATTAATGTTTGATAACAGTGTGTGATTATCTATTTATCATGTTGATTTTGGGTTGCAGTAGTGTCTCATTGATTGATAACAGTGTGTCATTAGATGGTCTGACTATCTCATTGTATACTTCTATATTGAATGTGGGTTATATCAGTGTTACATTAGGTTCGTAACATTGTGACATTAGCAGCAAATTTTGTGGCGTGTTGTCACACTGTGACAAATACAAATGTACAACTGAAAAAAAAAAACATTACATGCATAGATAAGATATGAAGGATATTCCACATTTGCAAAAATCATCTTCAATTCTAACACAGTTCAACACACTCCATCTCTAAACAAACCCCAAGTTTGATAACCACATTGTTAATTTATTCTGTGTTCAAAGAAAAATAAACATAAAATAATACCAACTACATTGTCAATTATAACATTTAATCACAACGGTGCAAAGAGCATTACGAAACTGCAACACACCACACCTTTAAATTTATGTCCTACATGTTTGATTTCATTAATCCACCCAGATGTTAACAGAACTTTCTCGTTATGCTGACTATAACAAGGCAACAAATCATCTTTCGAATCAGAATCATCATTCAGATTATGCAAATCTTTAATTAAATTATCAAGAGCACCTCCATTTGAATCATCATCTTTTACGGTTATCCTCACAGGAACATGATTGACGTTAAGAGAATGTGACATGTCAAACATATTTTTTAAGTCTTCATCATTCTTCGAGAAACAATTTGGGATTTCGGAGAGTGAATACGACAACCGTACTGACAAATCCCGCAACAACTCCCATGTATCACACACTCGATTTAATACATCCTCAAACGGTGAATACCTTGAAACGCGGATAATTAACGACTCATTCTCATAAAAGCATAACAAAATGACCATATCCTCCATCAAATTTTTGTGAAAAAAAATAATGTGAAACATATATTCGTCATTACAATTTATTTTTTTCAAAAAAAATTTACAATAGTGTGTAAGACATACCTGACACACGTCTTCTACTGCAAGTTTGTGGAAGATGTGTAAAAACCCGGTAACGGTATGGAATCAAAAGCGAACCTGTTAAAAAATATGTAATTAACTCAAGCAGACTAATATATGAATATTTAAATAAAATTTTTACAGACTATATAAAACATGGGTTAAGGAAGGGATAAGGAAATCGTCTGTTAAATGAATGNTTTTTTTTTCCTTATTTCATTCTTTTCTTTTGAAAAGGGTTGTATATAGTATGAGGTTGACTTAGTTAATAATGAGGTGGATATAGAAGGGGTGAACTTAGTAATTTGATAATAAGAAATTAAATAGGGTGAAAATAGAGATTTGTGGAGTGGAAATAGTTCCACCCATACTTTTTCTCATTTTTTTTAGATTGTATTAAAAGGTGGAATTACTAAATCCAATGGTCACATAAGTCCAAGTTTGGATCATGTTACAAGACCCGACTCTTGATGACCTTCATAGTACTGGTCCAATTTTAGAGTATCATCTACACCTGACACTTATTATATAAACTAATTTTATATAGCAAGTGGTATTAGTATAGACATTATTGCCACTAATATATATAATAATGGGTCTTCATCATTTTCAACTTAATATTATATATTAATCTCTTATCTAAGATTTCTATTGAAATAATGGACACACTATCTAAACCTAGATCCAAATATGACATAGTTGGAATAAGACAAAGCCATTAACCAATTATTTCCATAACTTTAAATTAGAATAAATTGTTCATTCTTATCTTATAGAATACTCGGATTAAATATGCTGCTAATGGCATATCAATTATTATGAATTTAAACAGGACTCATCATACATTAGAAATTTAGAATGTTGCTTATAACTATATGGTGAATGATTCTTAATTGACAAAATCTTGAATAAAATAAAATAAAATTACTAGAGAGGGTTTGCATCCCACAAGATTATGAAGCTGTTGGAATGACACATATGCTGCCTTGGATAGCCAGATTTGAGGTTGGGATCCAACTCCTCATCAACATCTTTACTGGTCATTGTATTAAGGAAAATGTTGTTTGGACTTAAAATACTGACTTGATTTGTTAACTTGATCAATCACAATCATTGAATAGGTAGTGGGTCCTAATAAATATTAGAACTCAGAGCTAAATCAATGACAATAATTGATCAAGTCAAAATTTTAAATCCATGTAGCAATGCTCCTATCTTTAAACATATAATCTAGCATTGAACGGGTGTGGTTTGTGCCATTTAATAGCCATGATGAAGCCAGTAAGTGTTGGTTGGTGGTGAGGCAGCATAGAAATGAGCCTTCTCTAATGGACTAAGGGCCTGTTTGGTATGAGGGTATGGGTGGGTACATAAAGATGGGTTTAAAAAATGGGTTTTAAGGGGACCGGTACCTTTTTTAGAAATTATAGTACAAAAAGTACCACTTTTAAAAATATTGGTCAAAAAGTACACAATCCATAACAAATGTCTAAAATTGCCCATTCGGAAGAAGGTGAATAGTCTCCTAAATTTTTCCCTCCAAAGCCGAAACAACGGAAATGGACTATTACCCATAACTCCTTCAATATTGCTAAAAATGTGGGCTCTTCAAAAATTGATGACATAACTTCCTAAAACATCCATTCTTTTCAAAACAGGATGTTCAAAATCAATTCTTTTTTTCTTTTTTTGTGTTCTTCGAATGAGTTTCTCTGTGAGTTAGTGAAAGGGCACTAGTGGACGGTGAAGAACAAATCAGTGAAGAAAAAGGCTTTCACTGTGGAGATAAAGGTATGTGAAAACTTCCTAAACCCTCTGTTCCTTTCAAGACATTATGTTCAAAAATGGGTTTTTCGTTCAACCAGTTCTCATNTGAGTTAGTGAAAGGGCACTAGTGGACGGTGAAGAACAAATCAGTGAAGAAAAAGGGGCTTTCACTGTGGAGATAAAGGTATGTGAAAACTTCCTAAACCCTCTATTCCTTTCAAGACATTANAGATTCTTCACTGTCCAAGTCAATCACTGTTCGATCAAGCTTTGGTTGGGCTATAAAAAGCCCTCTTGTTCTTCGATTTTCTCCCCATCTAGCAAAGGTAAGTCAAAATATTTTTGCTTCGTCGCTCGTCTATTTTCTTCTCTTCTTCGCTAAATCGGAGGGCTGGGTTGGGGGTGGTCTGGAATGCACTGAAGTTTGGTTTCGGTTTTATTTTTTGTAATATCTTCGAGTTTTTTGTTCTCCATTTGTGAAATTTTGGCTGAATTTTTTTTTGCAGTTTGGCATTTACATTGAGCATTTGTAAGGGAAATGACTGTACTGCTCCAGCAATTTGAGATTTGGAGGTTAGTGGAAAAAAATTATTAAATATGGTTTTTCATCGTAGTATGAGGGACATAGCAAAAATTTTATAGATTGAAAATAAAATTCCTTATGTATGTTTAACTAAAATAGGTCATAATATGATTTGAATATTGACAGCAAGATGAACTTCTTATAGGTAGCTTGGTTGTGAAGATTTACAGTTTTTAAACAAAATTTTAAGTACATGTAAAGATGGATTTTGATGGGTTAACCCCAAATAGTCCAATTTATGTGTTAAAGTCCAACCCCATTTGAGGAGCCCAACCTCATTGTGATNAAAAAAAAAAATGTAATCAATGCCTCCTTCTCCAAGTCTCCTTGGACATGGGGCATTGGGGGGCAAATGATGGGTTAAGCCCAAATAGTCCAATTTATGTGTTAAAGTCCAACCCCATTTGAGGAGCCCAACCTCATTGTGATTCTACCAAGCCCAAGACAATCCAAGACCGGTTAGACCTCTTTTTTAGCACGTCACCAAGACCAAGACGGTCCAAGGCCGGTTAGACTTCTTGCTTAGCACGTCACCAAGAGGAGAGCACGGGAAGTTTATCTGCACCGCCAAAGGAAACAGTCCAAATCCACCAAGTCCAAGACAGCCCAAGGCCGGTTAGACTTCTTGCTTAGCACGTCACCAAGAGGAGAGTACGAGAAGTTTATCTGCACCGTCTTAAGGAGCCCAAAGCTGGTTAGACTTCTTGCTTAGCACGTCACCAAGAGGAGAGCACGGGAAGCTTATCCGCACCACCGAAGGAAGGAAACGGTCCAATCTTTGACCACGTTTCATGAAGAGCTCCCCAACCTCTTCCTTCCGTTGAGGATAAGTCGTGATCTCCACCAAAGATAATCTCTAAGCTGCGATAAAGAAGCCTTGAGGATATGTCATGATCTCCACAAGAATGATCTCTTAGCTACTATAAAATGGCTCTAATCTGGGAGAGGAAGGGGACATGCTCCATCAGAGACTTACAGAAGACGAACCGACTACCGGAGATTATTGTTTTTCTTTGATTCTCCATTCCCCCTCTCAAAGCTTGTATCTCCGTTCTCCATACCTTTGAATCAATAAAATACCCGGCGACTGAAGCCATTGAAGAGTGGACGTAGGTCGAATTGACCGAACCACTATAAATTGTGTCTTCTCTAATTCTTTCGTTGATTTCATTGCATTTATTATCTATACTTGACAGGTGGTGTGCAAAACCATTTTTGTGCATCATCAGATTTGATTTTTGCTTGCACATACTATGCACTTGCCTTATTAAAGACTATACATATAGACTTGTCTGTCATTGAATCTTAACCAATCCTAAAATCAATGAAAACCCTTCAACAGCCTGATGGGATGTAATTTGTGATGTGCTTTACAGTTCTTATTTTTATATTGTTGATGGTTCCTGTACCTGTATTGATTCTACTAGAATTTCTTAAAGAAAGGTGCAGGCTTTTTCTTAGCAAGAAGAATTAAGGCCATGCTCACATGAATTCTGAAACTTGATGCGCCACGATTTTGCTTTTCTACTTGACTATTTGAGTACACTGTAACATAATCAAAGAGGGACAAAACTCAGTAGAACCATACCAATCACATATTTGGATAGAATTAAAAAAACTCATAGATATAAGACTCCCTTGAATGCCTGAATAAGTCCCCTACATGTGTTTGTAGAAGTACATTAGTCAACTTAAGAATGTAAAGGTCCTTTTTTTATGAATTCATGGTAATGGTCTAGAACATATATCAACTAAATTGAAAGCACTTCTGAAATCTTGCCAAAAAATGAGGTCATTACAGAGGTAATGAACCTCTGTTAACCACTTCCTTACCCATACCATCATTTGATCTCTTTGGTTTCAGCATAACAGCTTGCAATCTCAAAGCATTAACCACCTGCAGATAGATAGCATAAGAATTTGATGACACCACCTTAAACCTCCTCCTACATCTCTCATTCCACAATGCCCAAAAAATCAAAAGGGACACCTCTCTAATCAGTCCGTGACTCAAGGATTGAGATTTTAACCTCCTTAGTAATCTCAAAAACTTAGACATAGGTGTCTCACCAAGTAACACCTCAAAGCCTATAACTGTAGCCACCTTCTCCCATATAGCTTGAGCAAAAGAACAATCAATGAACAAATGAGAAGAATTTTCCTCACTTAGCAAACACATATGGCATCTGCTTGCCAGTGAATCTTCTCATGGTTGGATTGCGTGCCATGAACAACTAGCGGCTGACATATACAATGAATGGAGGTGTAGTAGGGTAGCTTGATGTTAGTCGATAAAGACTGATGCATGTTATTGAATTCCTTTTGCCTAGTGTTTTTGTTTTGTTAAGTTCTCTTCCATGCAAGTAATGGTATTAGTGGATGATTTACGTGTATGTCAATTGGCTTGAATTTTTTGGAATTAAATATTTTTTTGTGAAATTTAACTAAACATTAGGCCTACATGTGGATTCAATGCTATTTGTAGCGGTGACATGGCAAGCATCAAGAGTTCACAGTTTAGGGAAGTTCCTAGTTTTGTAAGGGGTTGAGACGAATGTGGACAACTTTCGAAGAATACGTCCTTATAAATGCGATTAAAGACATTTGCAATCGGGGCTAAAAATCCCAAAATTGGGCATTTAGATCAGGCTATTTGCACCACTTAGAGAAGGCTTTATCAGATGCACTTGGCAAAACTAACCTACATGCCACTCCACACATTGAGTCGAATGTTAAAAATTGGAAGAAAACCTGCAACACACTCTTCACCATGCTTAGCACATCAGGTTTCAGTTGGAACGATGCAGATAAAAGGATTGATGTTGAAAGGGTCAACGTTTGGGCTGTGGGCTGGTTAGGAGCAAGATGCTATAGAGGCGAGACATCAATTGAACGCAAAGTTGGCGAAAATCAATGGCCTAACAATGGATCACCAACACAGGACGGCTTACAAGACTACTAATGACTTGATTAAGGTGGACCTCTTCATGAGCTTGCTAGAAAATGAGAGACCAGCATGGCTTTTTGACATGCTATGGGGTAATGCATCTATGATGGACAATTAGGACTTATCCTTACTCACCTATTCTAGAATGTTCTTGGCGAAGTTAAGTAATATCCTCTTCATTGTTGTCCCTATGTTATGTGTGCAAGTGGTATTTAGACAACGTAGAAGAATCTATAGGATTATTTTCCCATCATAATGTACTTTTTTTAACTTGATTGGTGGTGGATATTTAATTTATATGTTTTAAAAATGTATCCAATTCCTTGTGTTATTCACATATCACAATAGTCTTGACTACAATAATAAGAATGAAAATGAGTTTGAAGAAGAAATGGTATGTTGTGTTCAATGGCCGAAGGGTAAGAATTGTTGATACTTGGCAAGAATGCCACAAACTTGTCACTGGATATCCCGGTGCATTGTACAAATCATTTTCATCCTACGAAGTTGCACAAGAGGCCTTAGTAGTACACGTTTCTGCTGTAGTGATGGACCAAAATTAGAATACAATGCATAGACACGAAGACAACACAATGAATGAACCATGACCCACTAGAATACCTGGAAGTATTCTCAGGCCACACGAAATGTTTGGAAGAAAAGACTCCAGAAATTGAACTTGCCTTACAAAATGGAATTATGCTCGTTGTAGTAGCATTCATATTAGGTTTCATAATTTGCAATATTTTGACCTCATTTGTGGGGAAATTTGTTTGACTAAACAATCATGCTTCCTAAAAATTTTCTCATCAAATTATGCTATGTTTGTAATTTATGTATTCAATTTTATGGATTGGTGTCACTATACTTTAATGTACAAATTTGTGTTACGTTATTAACTTATTTCTTGCGTATTCATTTTATAATGGATATTATTGGTAAAAAAGAAATGTGGCGCTTGAGGCTAATAGAAGATGAGGAAGATGTTCTGTTGGATTGTCTTATAGACCTTAAGTTGGAAAGGCGCATTTCCAACATGAGTGAATTCCTTGAATTCCTTGATAAGTCAACGTCGGCAAGCATCACGATTAACTCTTAGCCTAGTTATGGAAGTTGTTATTTTTTGAAAAAGACGTCATTTCAAGATGAAAGATATGGAGGCTTCAGGGTTGTTCCATTGGAACAATGAACAACGAATTCTTTTCCCAATCAATCCAGCTAGAGTGTCTTTCTTAAAGATTTATTTTTGTTAGGTTTTTACATATGTATATTAGTATATGAATCATTATGTACATGTGTGCATAAATCCAATTTGTAATTTTTTGTATGATGACACCTTTACGTCTCGAGCATGTGTGTGGACTTGCTCCAATTACGATATCTTCACAGAAATATTCGGCCCACATGGGGAAGATGGAAACATATCAATAGTTTTCAGTGTTGCTTCCACTTCAGTCACGTCTCCATATAGGCCTATTGTGGACTTGGTTATCATTGATGATTAATGTCATCAATAGATGTGAGTTATTTGTAAACAATATAATGATGTTTAATACGGTGTAATGGGAATATGTCTGTTCGGTTTGATTTATTTGGGAATGGACAAGTTTTGTGTGTATCTCTGTATATGTAAATGTTAAAATGTTGCAATGTTTTGTTGTGTTAATGTTTTATTGCGTTTTATTATAGTTATAAATTAACTCATATTTTATCAACATTCATATTTTTTTTTTCGTAAGTTAGGAAGAAAAAATATCAAATATGATAACCATAATGACACAAGAAAATGTACGTATATAAACATGGATTTGTATTAGATGGATTTGGATTAGATTGATGAAGGGGAAAAATAGTCATTTGTATACAAATATATTATCATACTAGTGATATATCCATGGTCATATCAAACATTGGTATTGATGAGATTGAATATTGAATCCCATGTTTCTAAAGATGAGTTTGAGTTTAGAAGGGTTTGGAGAACTCAATCAAAACTCCTCCCAAAAAATCATCCAAACAGGTCCTAAGATTGCGTTCGGGATAGCTTAAAAAAAGTGTTTTTTGAAAATTTTGACTTATCATAAGTACTTTTGAAAATGAGATTACTTTTTAAAAACACTTTTAAATAAGTAGAAGTAACTTAAATAAGTTAATAAGTATATATTAAAAGAAAATAACTTATCCTTCTGAAAAACACTTTTTAAAAAACCACTCCTCAATCCTCATTTTCACCCTCACTCCCTTGTTACCTCCCCAAGTGGCTGCTCTTATTCACTGACAATACTCGTTTTCGATCACAAACGACGAGGACCACCGGGTTAGAGAGTTGATTACCACCGATGCTGTGGGAAAATAGCCCCTTCTCTCACCAGTCTTTGGTTTATCGTTGATCAACATCCACTATCATCGAGGTACAGACTCTTCATTTTAAGTGATTTTATAGCGCTTCTATTTCACATATTTGTTATTGCAAGGCAAAGATTTCGTTTTTTGTTTGATTTCTAATGTGTTTCTATGTTTTAGTTTGAAATTTTTTGGTAACATTTATGACGAAATTTGTGGAGATTATTTGGGAAAAATGTTTTTGTTTGATTCATGATTACTATGAGAGTTCATTACATATTAGATCTGTGAAATCTATATGATTTGTGTGGATTGCCTCTTGTGTGAATGTTGAGGTGCTGAGATAACATGTATCCTGCCTGCCGCCCACTAGATGTTTGATATATGGTGGGACCTAATTAGATCACCTTTGGATAACATGGATATTGCATGTAGATTTGATGTAGGAGCCTCGCGTGTACTGTGTTTAGTTTGAAGGAACCAACAAAGGTTTTTCTTTCATCCTGGCATGTACTGCGTTTAGTAATAGTTCAATTTTGTATCCTAACTGGCTATTTATTTGTAGTTTTAGAAGTATCATGAACAATCCATAGATACTACTGCGCGAGTAAACTATGAATTTGATTTTTTTTTTGTTTTGTTTTGTTTTTGTTCATTTATGTGTAAGTTTCATGGCAGTTCCTCTGAGGTTTCATCTACTTTCTTACGATTAGTCATATTTACTAAGAAAAATGAACATTTTGAGTTCAGGATTTCATGGATGGCGTTTAGCCAACTTAGAAAAATTATATTTGGTAATTGCAAGCATCTTGAACTATAAAAGTGACAGGTCCAAAAGACAAGCAATTGAATAACAAACTTTCAAAGCAAATGCTAAGTGAATATGAACTAGTTTCTTCAAAATGTTAGAAATTAAATCTTTAAATTTTCTGATCTGAGAGTGCAATCATACTGACACAAATGAACTAGATCCTATCAGAATGCCGTAGTTAAGCATGTTGGGCAAGAGTAATAGATGGATGGTTGACCCCTAGATTATGAGATCATTAAAAAAATTTTAAGTTGCCTCAAACTTCTATTCAACAATCTTTTCTTCTAGAAACTTGAGATATGAAAAAAGGGTATCATTCAAACTTTGTTGCCTTGATGTCAATTCTCCGTAATGTTGGCCTCCCTGACCTGATTTTGAAACATTCAAGCTGTCCCAAGCAAACACCCAAAAATTGACTATCAAATGCCACATCTCCCAGAAAATATGCATCTTCCCAAGACCAAACTGATTGGGACATGAGTGTATGACCATTAATCCTATCCTTTATTATTAGTAATTGTTGATAACAATCATGGCCGGTTTAAGTCACCCAACTCAGTCTTCCTTTTTGACTTGTGTGCTTATGTGGGTCTAATAATGTGATATTAGTAAATGGGCTCACAGGAATGGCCTTCCTAGGTTTCTTCTCTACCTAAAGTATTTTCAAAGTGCAAGAAAAGATTTGGGTCTACATCATTAACCCTCAATTTGACTTTAGTTATGAAAATAGGTACAAGATTATTGCAGATATCATAATGATAGGAAAGTTTTTTCTACTTGATCTGTCATTCCCAATTTGAAAATTTGTTAAGTGTTTTACCTTGAGAACTTAGAACGTATAGTGGAGATGCATAAAAACTCGAGGTTGTCCTGAGGTGCGTCCAAGGAGGTTTGCTTGAAGTGCAAACATGAAGGTTGGATTGAGGTTCAATCAGTGTTTTGAAAAGCTCGCCTAGGCGCTCGCCTAGGCGAGAAGCGAGGCGAGGCGAGCTTATCTCGCCTGGAGGACCCCAGGCGAAGCGAACGTGAGCGAAGCGAGAAAAAAGCGAGAAAAAGCGAAAAAGCGAAGAAGCGAAAAAAGCGAAAAAGCGAACGCTTTATTATAAAAAGCGATTCTGCTTCA